TTTCACTATTTGCTAGAGAATTTTCGAATTTTTTCATTTCCTTTTCCGCCCTTGATTTGGCCACTTGCGACTTAGTAATTCGCTCATTTATTAAAACTATTTGATCTTTAATATGATCTGCTTTAGACTTTTGAGCTCGAAGTTTATCACCTCCAATTTCCAAAATCTTATTTTGCAAAATCTTAATCTCTTCTTCAATTTTAGAAGGTTGACGTTTCAATCTATCCAACTCTTGTGTACGATGATCAATTTTTGTTCGAAGTTGTCCCATACGTCTGGTATCATCTAAATTTAAATTATCTTTTTGCCTTAAAGGAAAAATCAAAAAAGAAAATTGATTTTTTATTAATTAACCTTACCAAGAATTTATAGATGAAAAAGTTCTAAACATACCGTAACTCGACTAATCTTGTTTCATTATCGGTAATACTTTTTACGCAAGCATCAGCAGACATCTTTAACTTTGATAGTTCAAACTCTAATTTAGGAAGTTCATCCTTTTTCTCTTGAATTTGAGATTCTAAAGAACTAACTTTTTCATTAACTTCTCTCCACTGTACTTCTAAGAGACTACGTTCTCTTTCTAATATTACTATTGTCTCGGGTGTTATGTCGGAAGAACATGTTGAATTCATAGCACCTTTCAACACTTGGGCATTTCCGCCACTCATAGTGCCAGATTTGTCAATCAATTCACCATTCAAAGTCACTACGCGCCATCGAATTTTACCAAATGCTATCCTTTTCGCTTGTTGTAGATTTTCGGCTACCAAAGTATTTTGTAACACACTATAAAATGCTGGGATAAACTTGTCATCTTTCGGCTTAACAAGATCAAAAAGACGGGGAACATTTTCAGGTGTTTGTATCGGGCGCATATCCATGGTAGGTAGCTTATTCAAAAGAATGAATATGACGCGGCCTAAATTTTTTTTTCTAAGATGTTCTATACAAGTTTGTCCAACTTCAACAGAGTCAACCACGAAGTTGTTCAATGCTGGACAGGCAGTTGAAATCGCGACATCGTATTTATCATCAATGACACCAAGGTTACCCAAACGATCCTGATTAAAAAAATTAAAATAAATAAGATTTTCAGCAAAACAATTTATAGAACACACAGCTCCGGCGAACTTACGTATAATCCGCCTATACCATTATCTTTGAGATTTATCAAGCTGCTAAGAATTTGTCCTTTGGACCGAGAAGATTGTAAAAATTTTTTCGCCACCTCTTCTCTTTGTTGAGAATCGGCAAGACTAGACTCGAGATTTTTTTGCTGACTAATGTAATTCTAAAGTAATAAAAGATATTTATGATTATCTTAAAAAACTTAATATATTAATTTAAATGTCAAATTAAATAATAACCTTTAAATCAGTGTCCAATCGTTGAATTTCTCGTTTCAACTCTTTGATTAGATTCTCTGTAGATGAGATTTCTTGATCCTAAATAAGCAGTTCATTTATGATTAATTGATCACCAAAAAAAGCAATCGATTCTTTATAATAATACCTTTTTCCGACATGATTCTCTAAGCGTGACAGCATCTTCTTCTGCTTGTTTAAGATCTTGTTTTATTGAATCAACTTTCTCTTTTAAAATAGTATACTCCGATTCATTGATATCAACGAGAGATTGATTCTCATTGATCTTCACTGACCATGGCGCAAGTTCTCTTTTCTTTTCTTCAATTTGGTTAGAATAAACTTCAGACTTGCCTTTATTTAAGATTAAATCCAGTTTCAATATAAAAAAATATTTACACAATTGGATAAAATAATAGATTCTCATACCCTTTAAGGCTTCCATGATTTTTTCAAGTTCACTTTCTTGAGCTTCTAAAGATTTTTCCAAGCCCACAATTTCTTCCATTTGATCATTCAAATCCTGTTCATTAAATCGTATCGCTGCTTTCGCTTCCGAAAGTCCATGATGACCCTATAATGAAAAGCTTATTTATTGTATGTCCTCGAAAATATATATATATATATGCATCAAAATAATATAACCTACCGTAGAAATTGCCATTGTCACTTTCTTTTGTTTAGAAGTTGCATGTTTCTTTCTCTCTTCCAGGTTAATAACTTCTTTTTCATGATTTGCCAATTTTTCTAGAATTTCATTCGTTTCTTTTTCAAGTTGCTTATTTAAAAAAAAAAAAAAATCATATTAATGAAAAATTTATATATTTGAAAATTAATATAATTTATTTTACCAGAAAGGCATTAACAGAATCGTTGTATTTATTTTCGAGATCTTTGTTATCTTGTTTTATCTGAACATGCTTTTCTTGTTCTTCTTTTAGTTGATCTTTTAATTTATTCTAAGAATTCATAA